GGGTAGATTTCTCAACTTATGTGCCTTTCTTTTTTTTGTTTTTTTAGACATCATTACACCCTGAAACGGAGGAACTCTGACAGCTGTGTTTGGCTCTCTGGCATCAAACTCTCTTCCTTCTTTGGGCAATGAACGCATCTGGCCAACCATGTTGTCCCTGTCCATTTTACAAATGGTGACCTCCTGTCCCCTCACCATGGGAAGTATCCTTTTTCCACGGAGACATTCACTCCGACTGTGCCAGACGTGTTTCATTTCTCCGAGTTACGTTATCAAAAATAAGGAGAAAAGCTGTTTCTTTTTTCTTTTTTTTTCACAAAAGTGATCATTCATTACCAAAGAGGAAGGGGGAGGCCGGGAATCCTCCACAAACAACCCGGAGTGTAACCATCGAACCAAGCTGGGGCCATTACCCAGTGTTCAGGCTTGGGCGTTGGGAAGATGTCCAGAGACAAAATTGGCCAATGCGAGACCGTTGCTCTGACTGATCTGCAACCCCAGTGAAAAAATAAACCAATCCCTCAGGGCCTAAGAGCCAAACAAACCTCAAAATAAACCCGTCCCTCAGGGCCAGAAAACCAAACAAACCACAAGATAAACCATCCTATCTAAAGTTAAACCTTCTACTTCCTAAAAGAAAGTATATTACCCTAGTGAAGTAGGACTACCACTGCTGTAGTACCCAAGAGCAAGTATAGCCAGCGACCATCTTGCCTTCCAGAGAAGTGGGGGAAAAAGATTAACATTCCATTTATTGTGACGACACCACCTAACAGTCGGTGGGTTTGGTCCCATTGGACCTTCCTAATCTGAAGTGACACTCCCTCCTGACCTCATGAGCCACACCCGCCTGCCCACTGCGGCAACTAACCGAGTGCCCTGGTATAAAGCCTTACCAACCTCACTCCGTTCCCTAATCTATCAATCCTTAAGGAACCAGTCTCCCAGTTCCAACTTCCCTTCCACTGAGATTCTTGCAAACTCCTTGCTGCTGCACCAAGTCTTCTGAAACCAGGTTCTGCCCGGACCAGCTGGGGTTCTACCTTTCCTTCTCCAATCTGCTTGCATTGCTCTGCGCAGGTTCGTTCTGAACCGATGTCGGATCTCCCTGTTGCACAATTCTTTCTTATTGAAGAGCCTGCAGTTTCTTTCGTACCAAATGACTTCTATACCAGCTGCTCTGGCTGTCTGAGCTACATACCCCCAACCTGTCCCAATACTGAGATCTTCTGGGATGCCTCCAAGCAAAACCCATTCTCTGGTCCTAGGTAGTGCCTGACCTGCCACTCGTTCCCATATTCCCCGCCACCATTGCCAGATTCTGTGTGACGCTGGGCAGTCCCACCACAAGTGTGGTGTGGATTCAAAAGCCCATTGACAGCGGCTGCAAGTCAGATCTACTTGGACTCCTCTTTGCGCTAGCCAGACAGAAGAGGGAGTGGCCAAGAAGGACAGGAGCCACAGAAGGGCTGCCTGTCTCTGGTTTGGAATGACCCTCAATTGCTCCCAACATTTAGATATCGCAGTTCTGATCACTTCTGGTGAACTTTGCAGTACCTGTGTCCATCTGTCCACTGCCACCGCTAGTGGTTGTCTAGGGGGGCTAAGCAGTCTGTATCCTACCTGAGCTGAATAGTTCATGATAGGGAGGTTTTCTCCGTTCCGTCCTTTAGCCCTCCATGTCCATAAGGCTGGATCTAACCTTAACATTTCTATCGGCCGACCTTCTGCGAACACAGTGCACCTTAGTGATCCATCTTGGTTTTCCTCTTCTATCACCTTGACTTGGTTCAGTGGCAGCCCCAGTTCTGGGTGGGTGCGGTCCTCGTCCAGCTGTAACAGGTCATTTGTCTCGTTCCAGGTGGTCCAACATTGGAAGATCCTTCTGCCTCCCGTGTGGGCTGTAAGCTTCCAGAATTCCGATGGTCTCTGCAACGAGTGGAACCAGGTGCCTGGCGGGTCTAAGCCAGCCAGGTCCAACAAGGCTTTCCATGATTCTGGTATTGCTGCCAAAATCATGTCCCTCTTTTCCTCTGCGTTCCTAACCGGTCCCAGCTTAGCGTAGAGTTCTTCCATTGTATACCAGTTGTTAGTTAACGTGTTCCAGAGGTCTCCGATGGTAACCACTCCTTTCTCCATCCAGATCCGTCCAAAGCTCCCTGTTGCTGTGTCCGCCTTGAACCATTGTCCAGAAGAGTCTGTTATGAGCGGGTTCTCAAACACCGGTTCATTGAGAACTTCCTGCCTTGTGACTGGTTGCTCCCACGTATCGGGTCTGAGCCTTCTTCAGGCTTTGATAATCGGGCCCCAGAATGGGGACTTCACTGCTCTTCTCTAGTACAAATACAGCATCATGGTCGTCCATACGTCTTCAGACCGGCTGAGATTCCACTCTTTCTTCAGGATCTGTTCTCCTAACAGAATCCAATGATCTGCCTTCTCTGATGTGGCTGCCTGTATGATCCATCTCACCAACATCGCTGCGTTCTTTCTTTCTGGATCTGTTATTCCCAGACCCCCCGGTGATTAGCTCCCAGGCTATCTTGGAGATGAACGACTCAGCTTCCTCTGCAAAGGGTTTCCACATAAACTTGGCGGCCCTTCTTCTGAGCATTGGACACAGTTGTTCTCCCAGTTTACGGACTGACCCTACAAACCATAACAGGGAGAACAGGGAAGCATTGAGGACAAGGGCTCTACCGAAAATCGACAGGTGGGTGGCTTTCCCCCATGTGGCTAACCTGTGGCGGGTATTCTGCAGGAGCAAGCCATCCTGATCCGCTGCACAGTCACATAAAGCAATTTGTACCCCCATGAATCTCTCCGAGTTATTATACTTGACTTGCTTCATGCCCCATCTAAGGCTAGGTGTGTGTTGCTCAGGCAACAGAAATACCGATTTGTGCCAGTTCACTGAAGCCTCTGATAGTGCCGAGTATTCATCAAGGCAGGCTTTAAGTGCTCCTAGGGACTCAGTGGTGTTCCTAGATATGGCCAATAAATCATCAGCAAGAGCTTTCGCTCTACATTCTCTGTTGCCGGTTTGAAGGTCCTGGATTGCTGGGTGGGTTCTGATATTATTTAGGAGAACTTCCAGCTGAATGATGAAAATCAGGGGGGCCAGCGGGCAGCCCTGCCTAAGAGAGCGGGAGAGGTCAAACTCACGGGAGATTTTCCCATTTACCATCACAGCAGCAGTGGAGAACACATACAGTGCAGAAATCCAACTACAAAAATTGCCTCCGAAATTCAGCCATTTTAGAGTGGAGAGGACATACGACCAGTTGACCCGGTCGTATGCCTTCTCCAAGTCAAGCAGCAGAACCATCATATCCATTCCTTCATCTGCAACTGGAGAAGTACCGGTTTATGATCCGAGAGGGGGTGCGAGTGCTCCTTGATTGTGTCAACTTGCTCCCATAAGTTCTCCGAAATTATAAAAAAATCCAATCCGCGGCTGATGATTCCTACATCCTCCTGGTGGTTAGAAAACCACGTGTGCCCGTCATCTGTCGGGTGTGAAAGCCGATATGGATCTATCAGGGGAAAAGTATCCATTAAATTAATGAGCATCGAGACGTCCGCTGGATTTTGGGTACCTGGTTTAGAGGCAGCCTGGTCCAATGAAACGTTCCAATCCCCCGTTATTATTAAGTTCGGGCAATTAGGAATCAATTCAAGCAAGTTTTCGAAGAAAATCGCTCTTTCTCTCTTACTCGTGGGAGCATAGACATTCACAATCAGCCATTCTTTATCATCCGCCCATAGCTTCAACCAAACCCAACGGCCCCAAATGTCTGCAGCAAAGTCTAGGATTTCCATGACCCGCATCTCTGTGTACAAGGATGGCTACCCCTCCTCTGGTGCCCTGGGCAGGCGACCAGATTTGGGGGCCAACCCACCACATGCCTAACTCGCTGATTCTATCCTCACTTAGTTTCGTCTCCTGTAAGCAAGCTATCTGCACACCTTTCTCGTGAATCCAAGACTTTAACCTAGCCTTCTTGAACTTACCTGATGCATCAACCAGGCCTCATAGATTCCATGTGGCCATGCGAAGTCTACCCATTTGAGCTCTGTCTCCCGCTTCCCTGTTGGATGGGGTGAGCTATCCCGGTCGATGAAGGTTGCTGCTCCCATGGCGCCATGAGGAAGTCTTTGATATACTTGGAGTTCAATTTCTTGTCCCTTGTCAGCTTGCCGTTTAATTCTGCCAGGAATTCCCCAGTTCGGAACGGCGGAACCCTGATTCTTCTGAGTTCTTGTCTTTTACCTTCTGCGAACCAGCCCAACGGAAGGAGCCTCGTACCTTCTTGTTCTAATTTGGACAGCTGCGCCATCTCCATCCGAGCRTCRAAGATTGGAGCAAAAAACTTCATCTTCTTCCCGTTCTCCAGGTCCAAAATRAACCTAGCCATTGGTACGTCCGGGATCATTCGGACGTAAAACTTTCCCCTCACGGCTGCCTGGATAATATTCGCTACCGCAGTAGGCATCGGCTGCTCCGGGGAAGCTGCGGTATATAGCTSTGCAGCTCCATCTGCGCTACCCCAAGCTATCAYTGAAAACGTCTCCTTAGCCGCAATGCACATTATCGGCAGAATTCTGCTCTCAACACTCTCCAGTTGCCCTCGGCTCAGTGCTGTTGGTGTGCGACTCCTCGTAGTCTTCATTCCGAGGGTGCCAATCACCGTGACTCGATCCCCGGATTCCTCCGATCCTGGAATGGAAGTCGTTGAGCCTTCTCTTTGCACATCATGTCCTTCGCTGTCCACTCGTCTATGTTTCCCCGGAGTGCTTCCTCGAATTCTCCCTCCAGGCTGCATCGAACCAGAACGGTCCACTCCCGAAGGCGTATGGCTGGTACTTGGTCCTCCCCTGGTGTCCTCCTGCGGGTTCCCTTGCTCTCCCCCTGGAAAAAGGCATGTTGGACGAAATCCTTGGTAGGGCTGAAAACCTCCTCCAAAGCTTGGCTGAGCCATTGGCGGCATGGCTCCTGGTGGTTGCCCCATCGGGAATACCCCTCCGGATTGCGCTAACGCCATCTCTTGAAACAGCTGGGCCAAGAATACATTGGATTGCATGGCTTGTGTTTGAGCCAGGAATGCCGGATTCTGGTAGATACTAGCATAGTTCATATCCTGAACGTGGTTGCCAGCTCCCCCCACCGACGAAGCCGCTGGTTGGCCGCTGGCGCCTCCTCTTCCTAGTGTACCTTGATAACTTGTCGGGAGGAGCCCTCTTGTGCCACTTCGCCTCTGCCTCCTTGCCCTCCGGCGTTGCCTTGTTGTTGTCCTGTGCGTCCTCCTCTTCTACATTCATCTGCAGAGTGGAAGAACGCTCGGCACTTGCGGCAGCGTGGTGTATCAGATGATGCAAGCTTGCCTACTAATTCATCTCCTTCGAAAGTGTCAACTGTAATCGAGTCCATGTTTGGCCTGGCCTCTGGGTCCAGGTCAAACTTGATGTTGACTAAGGCTGGTTTCAGCCTGTCTTGCTCTGGAGGATGAGTCATCGTGACTGGACCGATTGCTCTTCGTATGTGAGACTCCAGGTAAAACATGGCATCGAGAGGTACTTGAACAGCAATGACCCAAAAGGTGGTCAGTTCCTCCAGTCTTCGTTGTTCCCTCAGTTGAGCGTTGGTGAGCCACGCTTAAACTCCAGCTTGTATGTGTCGCCTCCCAATTCCACCTCTGCACCCCTTTTATCTATTAGCCAAGCGAATATCGTCATACTCTTTGCCACATACGAGGCGACATTGAGGCTCTCCAGTTTGACTCTCCCTCTGGTGAATCCTTCACTGAATTCGCCCCTCTGAACTCTCTCGTCCTCATAGGCTCTGATGAGGTCTTCCTTCACATTTTGCGGGAGAAATCGAGCTGCATCTCTGAAGATCACTGTGACCGTCCGCTCCTTTAGCCACTGCACCTTAAGTCTATCAATTGAGTCCTTAACCTTAAATCTGACATTTCGACCTTGTATCGTCATCTCTCCAGGGTCAATATCCCTGGGGAGAATGCCTTCCTCATAGCATAACCGCAGTAGTTCTCTTACCCTCATCTATTTCATGATCTCCCGGAGCAGGGGGGGGGGATCTATTCTCCATACCTGTCCCTGTTTCGGGGTTCATGAGCTCGAATGCTACAGCTTAGGTTTAAGAGAGATGAAGAATACGCGTGCGAGGAAGACGGACTCTTAGCTCGAAGAGTGGAAGTTAGTGGCGTGATAGCAGCGGCTGTACGGTGTTGCGGAGTATTCACACCGAGAAGGAGACGGGACTCTTAGGGTGAGAGGACTAGACTGAGCGATAGGATAACAGTGGTTTCCATTAACCGGGTCTGTCGGGCAGCCTGGTGCCTGCCCTACAACGATACCGCAGTGACGGTGTGATGAAAGTGAAAGTGAAAGTGGTGATGGGGAAGAAGCCGTGAGACACGTGGCATCAAAACTATCAGGGGTGTTGGCTCTCGTCAACTCCCTGTTTCCGCTTCAAGGAGCGAAATAGTTGACGTCTCTTCCAGACCGCCGTCATGGTGACCGCGGGAGCTGTTGCCCTCTGTTCGCCGTTACCGGCCGAAACAACGCTTGGTCCGAGCGCAAATTAGCGCCGGCGGAAGCGTTACGGTCCTTCCCCCGTTCTCCAGGAATGGTATACTACAAACTCGAAAAGCTGTTTCTACTATCTAGCGTTTTTTTTTTCAGTTTTTTAATTTCTTGTTTTGAATTTATTAATGTCAAAATGGTGTCACATGGTTGCATTTTCTAAACTCAAACTGGGGCGGTGGGACTTCACCCCCTCTAATTTGCAAATATTGAGTGGAACAGTGGAAATTGTTTTTTTTTTTTTTTTTTTTTTAAGAGGACCCCACCCCCCTCTAATTTGCAATTCTGAGGGGCAGAAGAGAAAAAAAAAAAAAAGAAGAAAGAAAGAAATAAAGAAAGAAAGGAGAAAGGAAAACGCCGTTCAAAACGGAAAAAAAGAAGGGCATGGAGGCTCATGTACGGCTATGAGAATACTATGGGTGGGTCTTCGACCCCACTACTCACCGAATGGGCAAAATGAGGATGAATCTTCCTCTAGCTCATGGAAAGACTCCGAAAGATACACCGCCATATTTGTGACTTCTGTGCATGTGGAGAGTATTGGAGCGAGGCCCTATAAGCGAGAGATGGGATGTAAGCTGTTTTTTTAGGATACGCCTATCCCATCGGGCAAGGTCCCCGTAGCAAAGAGGATTGGATGTAATGACTGAATGTGGGCGTGTTTGCGGAGCGGTGCAGAAAAAATGGCAATTTATTATATTTATCTACTCTTCTGCATCTCTGCAATGAAATGCATCCAGATTCAGGCGCTGAATCCAGTCCCCTTTTGCTAGTGGGACCTCGTTCCCGAAATGCATCCGCAATATATGGGTCTCGCTCCACTACACTAGACTCTCGAAGAGTTCCCCCTCGCTCCACTTACACTAGAAAAAACATCTTGAGAATCTGTGTCGAGTGCTGTCAGATAGTACTCTAGAAAACAACTTTTGAGTCCTCTAGAGTTCCCCCGCCTGCACTGGCCATTTCGTCTAGGGTCCTCACGACTCCTCGGGGGGGTTCTCCTCTTGAAATGGCGCTGAAAATTGTGAGTGGACCTCAAGTCTGGGTGGACAAACCAGGTTTCCGGTGTCGTGTTGTGGACACGAGGAACTCTAGAAATTCTAGAGTGTAGCCCCCTTCTAGTGTAAGTGGAGCGAGGTCGACTTTTTTGCTATCTTCGCGAGTCTGACAACACCCGATGGACTCTAGAACTTTTTCTAGAGTCTAGTGTGGTGGAGCGAGACCCTATGTGTGATCTTCTAGTTGGGTGGAAGCTTGTGCTGTAGGGCCTCGCTGCACTACTCTCTCCACATGCACGAAAGACTTAAAAAATATGGCCAAGTATCGTTCCATGTACTAGCGGAAGATTCATTGTGCACATTTTGTGAGTAGTGGAGCGACGCCCGTCATGCACTTCATTCAGGAGCATGAGGTCCTTATATTGGATTTATTTATTTTTATTTTTATTTTTATTTTTATTTATCCCAGAGATTGAACTGATCAGAGCAGATACAGTGCACTTGATCTTAGCCAAAATGCCGAGAAAGGTATTGTTTTGTCTGGAGTATAAATAATATTAAATATTAAATATTAAATTGCACATTATTCGAAGGCTGTCTTCACATATCATCATGTGCACGCTTTCTCCCGCAGCCAGTCTGTTTTGCCGCAACTGCCTCCCCCCCTTTCTCTTGTAAAAGGCCCCATTCCATTTTCCCCAAGTGGGGGTAGTAGGGTGTCTTTTTGCTTATCCCTTTCAGGAGCTGAATATGCCATCCTAAAGTTACTCCCCCCCCCCTCCCCCC